CGGAGTCCGATCATGAATCGTAATCATAAAACTTGTTTCCTATTTAAAAAGTACCCGGAAAAGACGAGAAAGCGCATATACGCCTCTGATAAAAGCAACTCTTTGGGATAGAGCTCAGTTTTACCTCATAAATATACCCCGTACGCTAATTTCACACAAACTGATTACAATTCCCGCAAGTAATATAAGCAATTTATTACAAGATTAAAATTAATTACGTTAAAACGAATGACGAACGATAATAAGAACATGAACTGAACGAACAGATAGTTCGTAGAATTACTTCGAAATCATTGTATTTAGTTTGTAGCGGTATAGTGCAGTGGAAATGAGGGCAAAACCAACACATACTTACAATTAGAGGGGAGATGGAACGCTGCTGTACGATTGAGCATTGTTATATCTTATGACACCTATTTTCTTTGCTACGAACTTTCTGGGATGTTAAGAAACGCAATCACATCAAGCATGGAACTGCATCGAACGATACTAACTATTTCAGATATTTGAGATTAGATAGATTTACGAATGACACATAAGATTTGAATGACATGAGATTTAAGACTAGATTCAAGATTAGAGAACATTTATACGAATGACACATAAGATTTGAATGTGTTTGTGAAGGTGATTCATACAATCTGAAAGTATTTTGTTTGTATGGATGACTTCCGCAGCTTTGCAATGAGCATTAGCAACACCAGTACGACTTAACATAGACGAATTCAGAACAGAGAATGCAAATTAGTATTGTGAGTTCTCAACATCGGTATGGAAAGCGTTTTGATCAAATCTGAGCAGTTCGTGACCAGATTTGATCTGTTTTGCGGCATTATTCACAGAAGACTGGATTTGAGAAGACTGAAATCTGGTCAATCAACCGATGGAGTGAATGTCACTTTGGATGATAAAATGCGAACAAAATAGTCGCTTTATTCTCCTGTCATTATCTGCAAGTCATTATTTCATACCCTCTTGGTTTGCCGATCGCTCTAAGCGACTGACAAAAAGTTTAACGTCGTTACGAATATTTGCTGGATTG